ATAGTTCGTTCCGTTAAAAATCAAATTCCTTTCCAGTAAGCTGTCATCTGAATTAAAATAATAACAAACACTGTCTATTGGTTGTACAACAGAAGCACTACTTAGTTAGTTAAAATCAAAAGTTCACTCCATAAGAAGATAACCATCCACAAAAATTATTAGAACTTGAGGGATTTGTGACTTCTGAGCATACGCTAACCGCAATTTGACCATGACCAGTTTTTCGGGATCATTGGGTTTATTTTTTCGAATATCTGAAATTACAAAAGCATGGCATATTTGTCACAAATGATTGTCTAAAACAGTCAGTATCTTTCTGCAAATATGAGTATCTATTTTTATTTCACCAAGGAANNCAAGGAATTCCATTCAAGAAAACGCGACATTGCGATCAAGTTGCTAACTTCCGGCTAAAGCAGTCAAATAAATTACTAAAAGGTACATCACATTGGCAGAACGTTTGAAGTGTGTGAGAATTGAATTGGTAGATAGGGTTACTAGACTTTGTGCGGTTTACAAACAAAAACGACTGTTGGGCGAATGAGGACACATGAAGGTTAAAACAGCGTCAAGGTTGACCATCTCCAATTCGCTTCAAGGGGCCATCTTTAGTCATGGGACTGAATTAAAACCGGGGTCACGATAGTTTAAGTGCTTTCTCAAATAGCTTTTCGGAAGAAAGAGTTGAACTGAACATACGAATGCTAACTGCCTTAGCTTTTGCTAAATTTTTTTTGATAACCAGTCTCGGTGAGCTAGGAAGCACGAATCTTCATTCGCTGAGTGCCTCGCATTCACACCACTGGTGACGGCTTTCCTGCTCCGGTAGTCAACCATACTAGTTTGTGTTATTAGATCCTCTGTAAAACTGCCTGATGATTCTACTTATTTCGCTGGCCTACCATAAAAACACAAATGGATAGGTAATCAGGGAAAATGAAGAAACAGGCTGTTTAGCTTTCAGGTTTACGAAAATATTACGTTGATTGGTGAAACACAGGCCTGAATGTGCGACCGGAAATGTGCGTGTGACTGCTGCTTCCAGACTTCGGGTGATTAATTCACTTTTATAATTCTCTTTGAAAGCAAGTCACATGTAGACGTCTTTTCTTATTCACTGTTAGCATTGGAGGTCCCTTGGGTGTCTCGAATAATTTTTCTCCATAAACCGTTCTGAGTAACCGCTAGATACGAGTGTTTGCCCTACACTTTCTATCAAATGAAGCCTCCCACAAAAAGCAAGGAAACGGCCGAGGTTTCGTTTGCTTGACGATAGATCTTACTGTTGAAAGTGAACTGAACGTTGAAGGTCTAACGGATTAATAATTTCTTCAAAGTAATCAGTGAGACGCCGATGTTGTGGTGTAATTTGAACACAGGTCCTCCGAGTTGACAAAATGAAGACGTTACTGCGAGGCTTCCTGCACACGGTTAGCCCGGTCAGCATTTATAGCAGAAAACAAAGTGAGGAAACCCACTTCAGGAATAAATAAACTTGCATTACTTGTGTGCATTACAAAAACTTTCGTTTGCCTGGGTTGTCGTCTAGAATCAACTGGAATGTCACTCAAATAAATCACGACATTATTTAATTGCATCACCCAGAAACACTTTCTAATAATTTATTAGTGTAATCAGATAGTTTGGTAGAAATCAATGAAGTCGTATTGGATTTCTTTCAGGGTTACGGGGCAAACCTAACAGAGGTAGACACTGAATTCAGGACTAACCACAGCTTTAGTTACAAATTGTTTTATAAGCCAAGCACATCTCTATGACATGAGCTAAACCATTTCAGAAGCGCCAACCTCGAAAAAAGTAATAAATGGATTACGACGGTCCAAAAGAAAAAGAAAGCGTATGTGTGATGCTCCTCCAATTGGTTGCATTGCTGTAATCGAGAGCAGTAGCGAACTAAGTTTAGGGGCGGTACTCATCAGCACCATCCACTGTGGCTAATGTGGGACAACTCGTAGTAATTCGATCACTCCAAGCTTCAGTACCCTCAACAACGGTGGTGAACGGGTGCTTTATCGGATAATGTTAATGTGCAGTGAACTCATGAGAGTCGACCCAGACGATCGGAATGATAGATGCGTCCGATCAGTAAACCCTTGTTTCAAACCAAGCATGGAGGACCAACTTTACAAGTCTACCACGGTGAGCGATACAGTGACTCCGCAAATTAAACAGATTTTCGTAAAACTGTGTTCCGGCCAAAGAGCCCTGAATAATGTTTGGTTTGACTGTTCAATAACTATCAGACAGTTTCACTTTCAAGTACGACAAACTGATACTATTAGGGGAAACTTATTTCATGTTTTTCCCGTGAAATTGATTTTCAGCGTATCCTATGTGAACCTAAACTCGTGTGCAACTTTCGTTTTGGTGAAAAATTCGCACAGATATCCACATATTATGAGCCTGCTGAAAAGGTCGACTAACATCTAGGCATTCAATATGACACCAGATGAAGATCATATAATGGGGATTTGGGGTGAGAAAACTATAGCTCATTCAAGTGACAACTGTCAAACTCACTGCAAAAGGGTTCACGCTGTGCAATGCCAAATCAATCATTCTCGTTTACCCCCACACAATCCTCAAAATATCTCTATCACTTGAGTCCCATTTTGTGTAGTTGAAATGCATTGTTTGCTAACTCATAATGCACTAGAAATATCTTGTTCCTCATTTATTGTTCTTATATTGCTGATGTTTCTAAGACTCAACAAGATGAAAAATGGAAGAAATACGGAGCGGTAAACTGATATCAATAACGAAGTTAAGGAGATTTGCTTGTTTTCGGTTATTAGGTTTAATATCCGTTTCATTTGAAAAACCTAACTTCACGTAGGCTCAGTGACGGCCATTCAAACGCATTTTACCGAATTGTAGAAATGAATGTGATTACCAGTGATGATGGCTAGCTCAGACATAAATTCTGGAAGGCTGTTATGGCCATACACTGAGCTTTCCAATTGGGTCTATCTGAGTATGCGTTGTTCTAGTGAAATAGCTTAAATTAGAATAATCGCACAAGAGCTTCGGGGTATTTCCCCAGTTGCATCGGTTTCTTGAAGTATCTTTGTTGGTGTTCCAACATAGGTGTCATTTCGTAGAAGTTTTGAGTTCTTTCAATTAGAGGGAACACAAATATTCATAAGAAAATGAATGTTGTTAACCTAGTCTATTTGAAACGAACGTAATCTGAATATCTTTGACCTGGGTTTATCAATGCTTTTTAAATAACGCATATATGTATTTTTATGCAAACCATTTATGTTAACTAGTAGAGGCATTGCGTTTGGCTTTGATTATTACCTGCAACTTGACAGTATGAACTACAAATGATGTTTTGAAGTACAACTCACATTTGTGAGTACAAGGGGTTTCATATGCTCGTGAATAGGCGGTTGGTGAATCCTAATTACATCTGGGAGGGGATTGAAGGATTTACTGGTCTGACTACGGAAGAGAAAAAGATACCATTGAGCTGTTTGACCAAGAACCACGAGCCTTCCATGATCAACTTTTAAAGATTGATGTTTTGTTCTATTTGACCGCATATACCGCCAGAATGATATTCGTACAACTGACGTTCCTCACGCGGACCCGGTTTTGTGGATATATAACACTAGCTCAGCTGTCTTTCGATATTACCTTTTTTGCAGAGAGGTCTTTGATTTAGAAACGAAATGAGTTCAAATGGAGTAATGCTGTCGATGAATCGTAAACCAACCATTTTCCACTTTCACTGGGTTCATATGTACAAAACTGTTGGTGACTGATTACATTTTTCCATTGGAACTGAACATCAATTCGATTTCCTGACCACGAGCACATTTCTCGTTTTATAGAGTCCAATAACACAGGACCCCAGTTTCTCTCCCTTTAGAGCTCATCAGTTGTTCGTCTTCGGCATCTTCACTGCAAACTCCTCACCTGGCGATTTTTATTACCTCTAAACTATTTCAACGAGAGCTCTCCTGACAATGAAACCTTGTTGTCTAACGCTCTATGTATGACCGATTTTGTATTTGTTCTGTCTGATATATGAACATTCCATTGTGAAAAAGCAGACCGATAAACAAACTGATCGCATTTGAAAGACAAAGGTTATCCCAGTCCATCCAAACTAAAAGATTTACAATTTCTAAGTTTCAAAGAGCGCTACATACCGAATAACATCACGATGAGACCCAAAACGTCATCATTTTTATTACAACATGCTGATAACAGGTCTGTCCCAATTCAACCCAATTCAACGATGCAAAAATACAAGTAGCCTTGCACATTGTAATCAACGGTATAGGTGAAACATATCTTCGCTTTCGAGACAAAATTTTTACACGAAATGAAAATACACATGATCGCATTAAAAGGGTTATCGTTATTCGAACAAGTACTGTAGATTGCATTGGAGTATAAAAAGAAGGTAGAACGAGAAATGAGGAGAGAAGAAAGTGGTCTGCTTTTTTTTGAAAATTATGGCCATGTTTACTGTTGGAGCACGTTTAGGGGAAAAATTAAAAAAATGAAAGTTAAAACCTTTGTCAATAGGAATAAATCAAGCTACACAGTGAATACGGTATCGAGATCTCTATAGGCTCAAAATCAGATCAAACGTTTTGTACAAACTTTTCTGACTGATGGATGATAACGATGGTAATGAAAGGGTTCGAAATAGAAAATAGAGTTGAATATCAATGCAACACATTCAGAAATCGATATTCATTCATTTGGCAACAAGTAAACGCATATGAATATTCGTAAAGACAGTCAAACAGGTTGACTTTAATCGGCAGCGAATTGGGCTGTCCATGTATGCTTCCACATTTAACTCCTCTCATTGTTTTCTTTTCAACAGTATAAGGAGGAAATCCGCTCTCGATTCGATTCGTCAATACAGCTATCAGACTGCACAAATGCATTAACACATGTATGGGATGGACTTAACGAACTTCACACTGCTAATAATAAGAAATACCAGTTTCCATTTAGTAATTATACTGGTTCAAGTTGGATCGTGAACGTGACATGTACATGTACACCGGACCGTTATCAACCACTTGTGTGCCATGCACACTGTCCGATCGGATGTAGGTAGTATCCTCGTCCATGAATGACTTTCGAACCGGTTGAGCTGATAGACGAGATGGTGTCACAGATCGTCGAATCACATACGATGGTCGTTGTTGGACATAAGGTGTGTAGTTTGAAACTGTTGTTTCCTGCCTTGGTACATACACATAGGAACTGGGGAGAGACGGAGCCCGTCTATATTCATATCTCGGTTCGGTACTGGCTGGTCGACTCACGCGAGTCTCGTACACCATAACCGGGCGCTGTTCCACCGGTGGATAATAAACATCGCTGTAGTCTGCAGGATAAATCATAGAAGAAGCTCGAGATACGTTAGTCGATGGTGTTGTTGTCAAATAATACTCAGAACTGGCTGACGACGCCCTTGAGCCACGCCTACTGGATGGGTAGTAGTAATCGGTTTCATTCAGTAATTTCTGGCGATCATTCCCCGCATGATTGATCAGTTCTTTCACACGTTCAACGTCTTGTGGTGATGAACATTTGTACGACTCATAACTGAACCGTCCTTTTTTATCCTTTGTGAATAGCACAAATGCGTTGCTCTGTCCTTCTGGTTGATAGAAATGCTGGATATCACGATATGGGAGATATCTGTGATAGCCACGTTTGGTGAAGCGCATTCGATCGACCAGGAATTTAACTGGTGCTGCTTTTCGTTTTCTTGGCAAATGTTTCTGCAGCTCCTCTTCAGCTCGTCTCCGGTCATAATATTCTCCATCCTTGACACGGGTTCGACCCTGTTGTGCAATGACAACTTCATCATTCAGAAGTTGACCACTGGGTTTGTCCACTGACCCTTCCATCGGGCGTGTCAGGTCAGAGTCGGATGCATACATTTTTCGTGTATCACAGAATTGTGTTAGTTCCTCCGGTATTCAGTTAACTATTCGGTATTTTGGAGCAGATCAAATCCAGTCACCGGAAACGATCACCTGCAGTATTATGCTATTCACTCTTGAGGTGTATGAGTCAATTATCGAAGGCGTCTGGTATTATATCATACACTCACTTGGCATTCCACTTATTGACAGAATAACGATATGGATAATAATGAATTCGTCGTCAATCGGGATATGTCGATCTTTCAACTACCTGAATTGTTTGCTATGTTTTGAGTATCACTTGATGACACTCACAGACACAACTTCATTTCCTGTTGTGAATGGTGCTATTGATGCGTGCTGCACAGTTTGATAGACATGTGTGAAGCAATTCGTGCCAGAACGCTCACGCTTTTTTTCGCCTGTGAGCGTGAAACAGACTCGTAGGCAGCACAGTTGTAGCCAGAACTGCATTTCTGTGGTTGTATTGATTGATGTTGATAATGCATTGTTAAATACTCATTCTCGTACTTTGAGAACGGTTACACAACGTTCAATAAAGTTAACTCTTTTCCATCAACTAGGAATATTACACCTTCATCACAGTCCGTTTTGTGTTTCAATCGATTATTATTCTGATCCGTTAGATTGTTCCTAAATGGAGATGATTCTTACTGCCTGAATGTAGCATATTTTGCTGGCTGAATCACTCTGATGAGTCTCAATTTTGTGCGTGCAATAAAATCAACCTCAAGGAATGTTATCTGTCCTTGAGGTTTGTCATGAGCTAGGGAGGCTAGATGAGATGGAAATAATTTACCTTGAGATTGAAAATTGACCAACCATTCGGGTTACAAAAACATTTTCCGAGGCCGAGGCAATACAAATCAACTGAACGCAATAGATATTTATAACCAACCGGAAAATCTTTATTACAATAATAGCATTTGAAGTTGCTTAGGAGAATACGCTTCTTTCTCTCGATCGAACACAACGGGGGAAATGCTCTATTCGAAAAATAACATTTTAGAAGCTGAATGTCTCAGAAAAGACTAAGCACATTGTGTGACGTAAATAACATTGTGTGTTAATCCACTAACCGAAAAGTGGGAGGAAATTGGGGCAATTTATTGGTCATTGATTCACTAGGCTGCTGAATCCCAGATGAATGAGAATCATAATTCATTTGCGCACAGTTATTTTTTCTGTTCAGGAAATAAAATTCAGCACAGAAATAAAATGAAAATATCCGCGTAAAATAATACCAACTAAAACACTGAAGAACAATGTTTGAACAGACAAAAATCACAAAATAATTCCAACCAGTAACCAGAAAATCAAGTCTATCACAAGAAATCTATTCTTCGAATCTTTGTAACTGCATTTCCAATGGACGCGCGTTGTGAAGATTGAAGAAATAAATGCGGGACGAGAGCATAAATGGTTAACCTTTTTAAAGTTAACATGAATTCGATTTACATTTAACTCGTAGTTACTTGTGAGTAGTGGTGTGAGATAGCTCACACTGAATTGTGCTGACCATTAGTCAACTTTGATCTACACGCGCACTATTTGGTTCAAGGTGTAAGACTGACCCGATGAATTGAGAATCGTGCATCAGGATGGGCTACGAAGGATGGCGATTCCAAGTTAGCAACGACTAAGCATGAATGTAAAACCGTTTCATTCAAATTTGAAAGGGTAGTTGATACGTTTGAGTAGAAT